ACGAGTTTGCCAAGGCACTTGGCTTTGACGAATCCGAGTTCTTATCGGCAACGAGCCCTACAAAAGATACGGAGGACTCGCCGCCACCGCCGAGTGCGCCGGCACCCGCACCAGAGCCCTCCTGGCCCCCCGCACCCGACGACCGGTTCTCGATCGCGTCGTCCTTCTTCCAAGACGACCCTGGCGATGAGAAACCTAGAGAAGACTCGTTCTCGAGCGACCGGCGCGGCCGCGGACGTCGTAGTAGCACGGCGATGATGGCCGACGACGATCCGTTTGGGAAAAAGCCTGCCAAAATCGAGAGCCTCGACATCTTTGGGTCGTCGCGCCGGCGCAGCGACGGTACGGACGCCCCGACAAAGCCGACTTCGAACACACCACCAAAAGTCACCGAGGTCACACCACCCAAGGCGGCATCTGCTGACATGACGCCGCCAAGAACGGGCGCACCAGAGAGCGACCTACCTGCGTTTCCTTGGATGAAGAAGAAAACTGGAGCCGAGCCAGCACCGACACCGAAAGAAAGTCTGCCCGTGTCCGAGACGACCGAGGCGACACCGAGCTTTCCATGGATGCGTGCCAAGAACGACGCCTCCAAGCCCACAGACGAGGCGGGGGCCGGTGACCCGCCAGCGACGCGGCGGCGAAGTGCTAAGGCGCCAAAAGATGCAGAGGATGTGGATCGGCTTCTCGCTGACGAGACACCGTCGTTCCCGTGGATGAAGAAGAAGACGGAAGCGACACCCGATGTGGCCAAGGCAGAAACGAGTAGCAGTGACATGCCATCCTTTCCGTGGTCCAAACCCAAGGTCGACGAGGCTCCGTCGACGACATCCAAGTCCAAGACGCCACCCAAAACCAAAACAAAACCCCCCGACGACGACGACTTGCCTGAGTTTCCGTGGCTCCAGAAATCCAAGCCCAAGGAGAATGCCCCGACACTTCAAGAGGGCAAGGAACCGCCCAAGACCATACCACTGGCGACGCCATCTCCCGAGAAGCATGTGGCGGCGCCGTCGCCGGCGAAAGCGATTGTCGAGGAGCCCCCCCCGTGGACACGGCCGCGCGTCGACACGGCGCCTCCTCCAGAACCCGAGCCAATCCGAGTGCCGGACGAGCCCGTGACCAAACCCAGCGTAGTGCTGGAACCAACGACACTGGCCAGCTCGCCAGCACGGTCGGCTCCGATGCAAGTACCCACCGAGGCGCCGCCCCGTGCACCATCGCCCGGGTCCCCCCGGCGCACCTCCATCGAGGCACCACATTCGCCAACTCACCGCAGTAGTGGCACTGGCTTTGACAAGGTGTACATCCTAGATCCTAGAGCCTCTATCTCACCGTGTTCTAGTCGGCGTCATCACCACCCAAAGCGGCATCCGGGTCGCCGACGCGGGCCCCGGTGTATGGCGGCGACGACGGTGGAGGGCCACAACGGCTCAGCCCTGCGTCCCGGGGCACATTCCTCGACAACACCGCGATCGTGCCGGCATTCATTTCGCACCAACTCGAAGCAAGTCAAGCGCTCGTCACGAGCTTGGAGGCGCAGGTGCAAGTGCACACCGCCGACAAGACAGCGCTGCAGTCGGCCCACGACCAAGTCTGTCGCTCAAACTTTGTCGATTCCCCATGGTGTGCATGCTCTAGGCGCTGGCGTCGCTCACCCACGAGACGGCCCGGGCCGCTGTTTTTGAAAGTGACCTTGCTGCCTCGGTGGCAGCCTGCGCGACGGCAACCGCTGAGGTTTCCAGCGTTTTGTTGTCGCAGGTCTCAGTGGCCTGAACGACGAGTAGGCCACGACACTGCGAGCGGTCAACGCGACTCTGACCGCTCAAGTCGGCGCACTCACGCAAGAAAAACAGGTGTGTACTACGTCTATATGAGCCTTTTGGCACGCGCGCGTAGGCGCTAAGCACAGAGCTTGCGATGCTGCGTGTACAAGCTTTGTCGGCAGCCGACTTGCAAGCGCAGATTGCCCAGCTTCTCCAAGACAAGAGCATCTTGCAGGCCGAGCTCCAAAGCGTGTCGTCCAAGCTCGTACAAGCGCAGCGCGATCTCTCGTCGGAGCAAGCTCTCCACGCGCAAAGTGTCGAGCGGTTCAAGCGTCTCGAGCACGATCGCGCCCAGGAAGCTCTCCAGCAGCAGCGGTGGCGCGACGAGGAGAGCCGGCACGCCGAGAAGGAGGCGGTCGAGCGACTCTTGACTCAAGTCCGCGCGGCCGTGAGCAACCTCAAGGTGCCATTTGCATTCGTTTCTGTTTGGAGCATACTATATTTTTCTGGATGCTCGTAGGTGCTCCAAGAGCACGTTGTGTTTGGCAAATCCGAAGCCGACGTGCGCAGCATGGGCGAGAACGAGTCGCGGTCGCGTCTCCTTCTTGAGATGGAAGGAAGCTGCAAGGCGTACATGAGCCGGACACAGGAAGAGTGTCAGCGTCTGCAATGTACGACAATCATGTCGTCGCTGAGATGTTTCATCCGTGCAAATGACGCATAGCGCTGCTGTCGGCACTAGAAACCACGATGCGATCGCTCCGAGGCGAGCACATGGAGGAGAAGGAGCGACTGCGCAGCGAGCAAGCGCGTCTCGAAGAGCTCGCGTTGCACTTCAAGTCCCAAACGACACTGCTCCAAGAGCGCACCGACACCAACACCAAAGTCGTGTCGCAAACACTGGGTACCGCTGCGAAAAATATCCACTTGATACATACGCAACTTGATACTTTGAACATAGCGAGCTATATCCAAGACATTCGCATTGCCGAAGCACGCATGCACAAGCGGCGCGAACAGCTCCAGGAAGAAGAGCGGTCACTGCACATGGCCCGCGCGGTGCGACGGCAAAACAAAAGAAACCAACATGATGATACGTTGTATGGTAGGCCTTTGCCGCACAGCAAGAAGAGGCCCTTCGCGACCAGCGCATCGTCCAAGAGCGACACCAAGCCGAGGCGCAGCGCGTGAATGAAAAGCTCAGTCGGCTTCGGGCCGAGAAGCAAGCGTT